AAATTATTTATAATTATTAATATTAATAAGAGATGGCGCCTAACGCTTACCTCTAGTACCAAATTGATTACGTAATTTATTTAATAATTAGCATAAAACTAGCCCGATAGATTTTCGGCAGTCTGTTGGTTGTAATAATTGGTTATATTTTTTTATTAGTCAATTACAGGTATTTTACTACATAATAAATGTGCATTAAAGATTATCTACTTACAATTTCTTGCACATTTTTTTACATTGTATTTACTTGAATCTAATGCACATTTTTTTGTTTTTGGTTGATTTTGTCCCAAAAATTATAGTGTATGCAGAATTGATGATATATTTGGTATAATTTTGTGCATAATTTTAAGAAGTAAAGCAGCCACAGAATCAATATGCTACAAATTGTACAAATCACTGCCCGTTACTCGTCTCATTGGAGAAGCAACAGCAGTATCCTAATAAAAAATGTCTGTTAATTATTGTAAATTTAGTCCTGGCGACAGTTGTTAGGAAAGCATATACTGCTTTCTTGCGGAAGCATGCACAAAGTTACAGTGAACAGACTATAGGATTGAGTACAAACTTGAAAAATGTTTACTGCTTTGCCATGTGCTATCATTTCTACAGTCTAAATATTCTCTTCTCCTCACATTCAGTTTATTATTCAACTTTCTGACTTTTGTGCTTTCTGTGCATTAGTTTATTATTTCCTAATTGTCATACATCATTATTTTATTCATTTGAAAATTTTAATAACTACAACTATTTATTTTCTTCTAGGAGATCTTTCAAAACCAGGGAAATCTATTCCTCAAGGGACTCTGGCAGCAGTTGTATTTACTTTTTTTACTTATCTTATATTAGCTGTTCTGACTGCTGCCACTTGTTCAGGGTAAGTAAATTTATTTATTTTAATAAATTAATTCATTAAAGTAAATAAATTTTAATAAATTCTAGGTGTATGTAAACGTATTTAAATTAAATATTAATAGCTAAGTATAAACAAACAGAATAGGAAAAAAAAACATACAAATCATAACATTTTTAAATTAAAAAGGGATAAAAAAAAGATTTATTTAAGACCAAAAACAGACATTTCTAATAAATGAAAATTACGATATGGAAAACGTAAAATTCAAACTCTTGCAGTTCCTTTGAAATTCACAAAAATTTTGAACTGACAGCTAGAAATGCAACAGTCGGTAAAGGAAAAGTCAGAAAAATGTAATAAAAATTTTAATTTAATAATCATCTCAATTAACTTAGCCTCAAAGGAGCATAAATATAATTGAATAATCTGGATTACTTATGCTCCATTACAGTTTGATAAGCCTCATATCTCTATCATCTGGTTAATTGAGATAATTACTAAATTAACGTTTGAAGCAAGAAGCTTACAACTATTCTAAAAATTTTAATTGTTTTCATAGCCACTGTTGTCAGTCTACAATGTATTTTCGTATATTTAACCTAAGTCCTTCGGTTGGTCAGTAACATAGTTTCTGCAGGAGAAAACATTTTATTGTTGCCATATGAGTCATTCAGATACCACCTATTTAACTTCTCCACTTGATTCGAAACGACAAGGGTAAGACTTTGAACAGAATACAATTATACCTTTGTATCTGAATGTTTTATATCCAAATTCTTGCTACAATGAATGGAAATTTTTTAGTATCCATCATGATATCCATATTGAATAATCTGGTATTACAAATTTCCTGAAAGTGCATTTGTGTAAAATATAAACGTTGTGCTATTAAAAGTAATGAATTCGGGAGCAACTCTGTTCCAAAATCTTGTCTACTTTTGTTAGTATTGTATGCATTTTATATAATGGGTTTTCAGTTTAGTAATTTTTTTATTATTATTAGAGAGGTTGCAGCCAACGTTTCCATCGCAAAAACGTGTACGTTGGACATTCAGTGCCGCCTTCCTGTAAGCCTAGAAGTTTGACAATGGTGTTTGAAGCGTTGAGCATGATTCTACTGACGTTCCAAATGCCATTGTCAAACTTCTAGGCTTACAGGAAGGCGGCGCTGAACGTCCGACGTACACGTTTTTGCAATGAAAACATTGGCCGCAACCTCTCTATTAAAATCTGAGATATCTTATGAGCTTAATCTTAATTGTTTGTTATTTTTTTCTGTTTTGTTCTGTTCTTATACAGTAATATTTTAATATAAAATGTATAGTATCATTACAATGTTTTTTATTATTTCTACAACATTTTCTTTTATAACTTTCAATAGTTAGTACTATACAAATTTATTTGTTGCATTACTGTTTATGGATATATTTTAATGACTTTAATTGAAAAAAACCATGGATTGATAGATAAATATGTTTTTGCAATGTTTTAGTGTCATTTGGGAAAATTGGTTGGGTTATTCAGATGGAATTAGTTAGATTTTTTCTCATAAGAAATAATAGAAATGATTTCCCAATTTTCAAATTGTTGTCAGGACTGTTAGGTTTGGTTAATAAGATAGGTCATACCTGGATGACATTGAGGGAAAGAAATGTATTGTGTGACCAAGTACAAGTTGACTGTGAAAAGGAAAATATCAGAAAAGTAACATGTTGACTGGGTAATACAGAAATCTTTTGTCATAGCAGTCATTTACGCTGTTATGTGTGAATAAACTTGTATTAATAATAAATAAATGCATGCACAAGCAAAAATACTCACTTTATATTGAAGGGAAAAAATCCAGTTTGCTGCTACATAAAAAAAATAAAGAAAATTTTAAATTTTTGGTAAATGGCTGCTATGTCAAATGATTTCTGGATCACCTGGTTTATGAACTACATAGTTTTGTTTAATGTTAAAGAGTTATAGTCTGTTCTAGCAACAAGTTTTTATTTATCAAACTTTTTTTGCTGTGTTAGTAGCCATTGTGAGGATCGAGCATACATGTAATAGAAGTCTTTTAAAATTTAAATTGTAAAATAAAGAATATAAGACTAGCCGAAAATATTTGATAAATAAAAACTTGTTGCTGGAACAGGCTAAAACTCTAATTTTACACAACTCCACTTTAAGAAGTTTGTTTATTGTTAATTTGAATGAATTCAGAATTAATATTAAATTAAATTAAAGTTATTAAAATAATTTTTTTGAAATTAAATCAGTTCTTTTACTATATATGTAAAGTATAACAATATAATTAACAGTTATTATTTCTTTTCTTATAATAATTAATCTTTATTTATAGTCTTCTTCTAAGAAATAACTTTCTTTATATGCAATACGTTGATCTTTGTCCTCAACTAATTGCCGTCGGTGTCTTTGCCGCAACGTTGTCTGCCTCCTTGAGCAACCTTATTGGCTCTTCCCGTGTTCTCGAAGCTTTAGCCAAAGATGAATTATTTGGTAAGTTAATGTACAATTAGAAAATTAGTACTAGAAAATTAAATATTATCTTGAATTATCTATTAGTTTTAACAGTGTAGTGAATAATTATCAATGAATCATTGCATCTTTTAATTGAATAATGAAAATTACCAAATTTTGTAAACGAAATCCACCGAAAACACTAAATCATTTTCGTCATTTAAAATTTCATTTATATTTTTTAAAACCGACAGGTGCCAGAACATTGTACAGTATAAATTATAAAAAAATAAGTGTATGACAATGTTACGAAAGCTTAAGAATTATCTCAAATCTAAGCAAGTGCTTTCATTTAAAATTAAATTATCTTTTTTGGATTTAAAGAAGATACAAATAAAAATTGAGTATATCTGAGAACATACATTTTTAAATTTGTGTATGCTCGAAAAAGTCTGTTTTAGATGAAAGTACTTACTTGGAGTAAGAAGTCTTAAATTTTCGTGATGCGCTAATTTTATTATAATTTGTTTTTGGTTTTAAAAGTAAATATTTCAATGAAACTATTAGATGATATACTTGTCAGCCTAATTGGAGCAATTGGGCCAAATGAAATCTTAATCAGAAACTATTTACGGTTCATAATAATAAACAGCTAGGACAATTTTATTGTAAAAAATTCACAAAAAGTAACTGAAGATACAGGTATGGTAGAAGAAATATATTTTAAAAAATTGTAAATTAATCAATTTATTATCTGATTACATGCTCTCTAAATTTATGCAAATACATGTTCTTTTCTTTATAGAGGATTTTAACATTGTTTTCTTGAAAAATACAGTCGACCCCCCTATAACACGGTAGATACGTTCTGGTTTTTATGAATTCATTTTCTACGAGTCCAGCCAATCACAGCCC